GAGGACAGGGAGAGGAGTCTCACTGGCTCTCCGCACTTGAGTGCAGCTGCTACTGCTGCTGCTTTAATAGCATGGGCTGGGCTGATGCCCCTGAGAGACAGGCAATAGCAGTGGGGGTCCTTTCTGGATCCCCATTTGCCCTCACCCCCTGGGGACAGAGCTGACCCTCCCATGGCAAAGCCCCCTGGGAGAAGACATGGCATCGTTCCACACCCCCTGCCCTGGACCAGATACAATGCTAGGCATGATGCTGCCCCTGCCAGGTTGCACAGGGCTCTGCATACTGTGGTAAGACTCCTGGTGCGGAGCGGGCCATGCTGGCACCCCCTCTAAGTCTGTGCCTGGGGTCTGGTGCCCTTCTCACCGCATCCTAGTTATGTTACTGAGCAATAGTGCCACATGGTCCATGATGAGGGTGTATGCACCCTTGTTTAGCATAAACTGCTGCTTGGTCTTTTTAGACTTAAAGACAAGGTGATATCCCAGACTGATTATTCTTGGTTATTCAAGGATGTGTCTAGGAGTGGGATGTGTTGCAGGGGAAGGTAACAAAGCTGGACTTCCTAAATGGCAAGTCAGGAATTTATCAGCAGCACCTGTGTATTTTTTTTACTCCTAACTAGATGATTGCAAGGTGCAATTGCTAATTTCAGATTTTATAAATCTGCTGTGCACCGTCTTCATTGTTTGCAGTCAGCTCTGAAGGCTGTAGGTATATCTTTAAAACCACATTGATTGCAATAATTTCCATAGAACATATAGGGCAAGGGGGGAAATCCAGATCTAAGTTATCTGCAGGTTTAAGAAACTGCATCATATTTGCATTCTCTCTCTCGCTCTCATGTTGAAAGCAATAGTGTGATTGTTATTAAATTAAAACCTGGGTGAATGTTGTGCTTGGATGGGTGGAAAGGACCCTACAGGCTGAATCTCTTGTTGGTTTGGGAAAAGTTCTGCCTGGTCTAGTACAATAACATTTGCTATACTTTCTTGGCTTATTGCATTCATATTTTCACAGCACAGGATGCCAAATCTCATTATCTTTAACCGATTTCACTTATTTCCTGTTGTACTCTGCCTCTTGACAATGGCTTTGCATGCCTCCAAAAAGTGTAGTGAGATACTAAGACAGTCTCCCCTACTGCCAGAAGACATCATAGGTATGATAGCAATTGCTTAAATTTGCAACCTCTACATAATAGCCATTGCAGCAATACAAACATACCTCTCTACTGCCAGAAAACTTGCATAACTGTGATAACCTGCACATAATACCTATACAGAGCTGCTGCATAGGTAAGATAGCCTGCTGATAGTGCCCAAAGGCATCAGAGTGATACACAGTGCACATATTCATACCAGAAGCCATCCCATTGGCATGAAGTGCAAACTTAGCTATGCTGAAATGGAAGACTCATGAAAAAGAAACACTGCGGTTGCATCCAGCACCAAAGTTTCCGATCCTGCAGACTTTGTAGCAAGGCAGAACCTATTTGGAAAAAGATAAAGACAACTCACCTCCCAACCTTTGCCCATTCCAAAATCTTAAACTGAATCAAACCATTTCCAAGAGAAGAGAAGTTTTGGTTCCCACATGAAGTGAGATGGGAGATATCATTCCTGTTGAATCCTCCTACTCTACTTACTCAGGGTGGTCCCTGGGGAGACCCAAAGGAGAAAGGGCTAGGGAGGAATCCTCCGTCCAGTTTCACAAAGGTGACGCTGAGTATTGCCTCCTCCCGTGGAGCCACCACCCTCCTCATGCAAGGAAAGCCCACTATTTCTGCTGTCACAAGGGCTGTACAGTCAAAGAATGGGAAAATATATTTGTTCCTCACTGAGCAAAATGAAATGGTTTAAATAGGGACTATGAATTCTTATCCCATTACCTGGATTAGACTTAATGACCTATTTGTTCCTATGTGTTTATTGCTTGTTTGTTTGCCTCTGCAGCATTTCCCCCTGCCCCATTCTCTCCTTCTCACTTGTCTTTTGCATTCTACTTTCTCTCTCTTTTTTATACACAGCTTTATGAACATTTTCACTGCATCTGATGAAGTGAGCTTCAGCCCATGAAATCTCGTGCTATCTATCTACTTTGGCTAGTTTGTAAGGTGCAAATCTACCCTGCCTTCAGAATGAAATGACCACAAGATGGCAATATGAAACTAAACATCAGGGGAGGTTGCTCTGCTTCATGAACACCTGAAAACTTTCCTCTTAGTTTTACAGAATTTCTGTCAGTCCAATTTGAACCAAATTTTAGTTTTGCAAAACAAGTTTTTTATAAAAACCTGTTATCAATTAAAATGTCCCTGGGTCTTGTGTATTTGTTTCAGGGAAATAAATTACTTAATATTTTCAGAGCAGCAGATACTTCATTTTAAAAGTCTCCAAGATGTGTGCTAAAACCCTGCTTTGAAACTCCTCAGTAGCATATGAAACAAGCGAGCACTTGCTACCACATGCACACCAGAAAGGGAAAGTGACTGAAGGGAAAATGAATCTTATCTCATCTCATCTCATTCTTGTCTACTGTTCAAGCTGAGTGAAATGCAAAAGACAAATCTAGAACACGCATAGTGACATGCAATAGCATAACTGAGGAAAGCCGTATCTGGGGTAGCAGCCTTGGGTGCCATTTTGAGTGGCAGGGAAGGAGGGTGCAAAAATAGCCGCTACTGCAGCTGTGCACCACCACTGCCCAGAAGGCGGAGCTGCTCTGTTATGCCTCTGGTGACATGTAAATTAAAGTGGTATATTCTTTCTGTACAAGGTGTTTCTAGCTTAGTCAATAGCTCCTGGTTTGGGTTTAAACCCTTCTTGTGCTACATCTGCAAGTGGATTCCTCTTCCACGTCTCCTGTACGTACACTCCAGCACAGTGGCATTATTTATGTCCATTCTTTCTTTCTCTGCTGCTAGCTTTTCTAGCCTGTTCTTCCTCCACTCTTCCTCCACCCCAACCCACTTGGATATCCCTTGCAACTCACCCACTAACCACTATCTACATCCTGCTTAGGCTTGAAAAGGATGCATGTTGTATGTTCTGTGAGACTGGACTGTATGTGTTGTTACAACTGAGCAGGACAAAGAAGCTTGGATTAACAGACCAGTGCCTGAACCTGTAACCCTGTAACAAGCTGCTCCCATAACTGGTCACGTTAGGAGCTATCACAGAAGAGAGGAAGATGGAAGGGCTTTACCTCCATATGTGCAGAAGAAGGTCAAATATCTCTTTCTATCCCTCTATTACTTCCAACCACATGCCTGCATATCTCCCCCACCCACCCACAGCCCTTTTCTGTAATTCACATCCTCCACCTGGCATTGCATCTTTCAAGTGGAGCTACAATGATTTAATGTAATACAGATATTGCTATTATTTTAGAAATATATGATTTTTGACCTGACAAATGCATTTTTATTCAGAGTTAGACAAGAAGTTGTTTTCAAAAGATTAAAAGGAAGTACCCAGCTAGTGTTTCTTGTATTACTTTATATTCAGGATGAATAACACAAGTCATTACAAGAGAAACATTTTTATTAAAATCATATATAAATTGTTTCTCTGACTTCCTGTATGCTTGTTCATTTTCTGTAATCTCTTTGTTACAGATTTGCCATTACAGAAGAAAAATATTTTGGGTTTTTGTTTTTACAAAACACCAGTACTTTCTTCTCCACCATACATGGCTAAATGTTTACTAGTTAAGAAGACAGACATCAAGAAAAAGGAATTTTCAAAACAACCTTTAAGAAATACCTGTATATGTTTCACCATCTTCTTTGAAAGCACAGAGCTCTTATCTCTAGCTGCCATTTTAATTTCACTTGGCAGCCTGAGGCCAGCTGAATGATACAAAGTAGAACTTAGAGTCACATTTGCTATTAGTATCCGAAATTGAAGCTGCAAAATCTTAAGCTCTGCTCAATAATATGTTAAACATTTGTTTGGCTATATTGGCAGTGAATGCAAACACAGGCCTTGATCCTGTCAAGACTTATACATTTACTTTATTTCATACATGATATTGTCTAATGAATAGTCTATAAACTTTATAAATAGTCTCTAAAGGTGCACACCTATCCTGCCTTCTGATTGTCTAATGAAGTCAAAGAGGGTAAGTTTTTGCAGGATTGGGGCCCTAACCCCTAGAACTATGTGGGTCAAACCCTTGTTCCTGACAAATCACAAGGGTTTACCACAGACTATTAAATAGAAAAAGCATTTGACAGTATGGACCTAAGCAAAAACCTGCTTAAGATAATGCCAAGGCTCACACTAACTTCAATGAGTAGTACTGGATGAAACCATGTATACTTGATCCTGTACCACTTGAAGGGAACAGGAATCAGATTAGGTCCTAAATGAATATATAAAATATTTATTTTTTCCATCTAGATTACTACACAATGTTGGTGCTGATTGTCACTGTGTAATCTATTACGGAAATTCAAATAAGCACCAGTAAAGTACATTAAGAGATTAAAATACTCTTTGGAAATACTGTAAATGCATTACCAATCTGAATCTACTTATGCATGCTAAGTTATTAAAATCTAAATATATTAATTAAATTTGAAAGGTCAGTGGTCTTAACATCAGTAATAAAAATTCCTACTTGATGATAATTCATGATACAATGCATCTTATTTTTACCTGATATTTTCCAGAATTGTTTGGACTATCACTCTCTCAATTGACATCAAACCCTCCAAGTTTTACTGACATAAAGAAAGAAGGCACAAGTACACAACTGATATTAGTAAAATACTGCATACAGATCTTAAACCCCATCTCATTTTTATCTATTTAATATTTTAAAGGTCACAACACCTAAGGACAACATAAATGTTAAATTTCCTATGTTGCTCAAACAGATTAATTTTAGCCTATAACTATAAAATCACTATCTAGTTGACACACATATACACACACAAAGTATTTTTTAAATGAAGTAAATATGTTATTCTCTGATGGGATCTGGATTTTTAAAAAAATGGTTAATTAGGAGCCAGTTCTGTTCCAAATGAAACCAAAGAGAGACTGTCCATTGACTTCAAATGTAGCAAAATCTAGCTGGATGTTGAACTACCAAGTGATATTAATCTTTGGGGATTTCTTTTTTCTTACATTGGGTATTTTAAAAAGAACTTTGAATTAACAATACGAGAAAGTGCCAACATTTCAGAAGGTAACTCCCTAAACCTGCCCATGAAAACAGGGGCAGCACTGAAGCTCCTTTAACAAATTTGGCACCACCTCCAGCAATGTGTTTCTCTCATTTTACACCACCAACTCCACTGAAAACAACTGGAGTGATGCAACGGCTATCCATGGCTTTAGTAAATAAGAAGTATTTATCAATTTAGCTATCAAAAGTTTGCGTATGCCACTTACAGTAAAGATACAGACCTGTGGAACAGAAGCTCATGTCATTTGGTACATGCATTTAATTTAGATTACAGTTTGAATTGGGATTACAGCCTGTCTATTTAGACATGTACATGCCCTTTGTTCAGACAAAAGTTTGTAATCAGTCATGGACCTGATTCTCCCCACGTTGGTATTTCCTGCTTCATTTGGTGAATCTGTTTCTGTAGTTCATCCTTGTCAAGTTTCATTTTACCTTCTAAAACCTGCCGCAGGGACCCAATGCTCTCGTAGATAGCTGCAAAGCCTACGTGTAGACAGGAATTGAATTAGTTTTATTATTAAGCCTAGAAGTTAGACAAAAGCTATTTTTGTTTCAAGATCACAATTTAACAGTTCATTTAGTAGATTTTCATTGCCAGGGCACCAAAAGTTTTTAATGAAGACACAGGACTTTCTGCTGGTATAGATGGATGAAACTAAATTGAAGTCAATGAAACTGTATTCTTTTACGGATTACATGAGCCAGGAGTTGCTGAAAGAAATGTAAACATATCCTTTTTTCTTGGCTATTCCCAACAGATTACTGGGTTCCTTTTTTTTTTCTAAAGACAGATAAAATAACACGAAGGAAAAAAACTCTCGAGCTAATTGGGTTCCATTCTTTTCTTCTGTAGGTACTTGTGGATATGGCTGTTGAATATATATCTCATCTGTGCACCCATTGCATAGGCCATTATAAATCTGATCAAAAACCTGCAAACTATACTGAGATCTTCAAGTGAAATATACTTTAATGGAAAGTATTATTATTATTATAGCTAAATCACAAGTCACAGTAAAAGATTCAACAACTGTGGCCCTACCGGCATTAACTTCAGCTTTCATTTCTTTTATATCTTCATTAATTTCATTTTGAAGCTTGCTGATTCGAACATTTATTTTATCTTCAGTTTGTTTTGTTCCATGTGCTTCCATAGTTATTTTTTGGATTTCTTCTATTTTATCAAGTTTCACTGAGAGCTGGCTGAATTTCATCTCAATGGCATTTTCACTCATTTCCTGGGCTCAGTGAAAATAATTATAATTAGTTACTTTCAGATAATAAATTATATTAGTCATCCCCTAGACATGCAAAAATTCTCTCTTACCATCATCTCTGCAAACTGTTGATGTTTAAGAAATTACGAACAGTTAATAAAAACTCTCGCATTACCTTGGTCATCATTACAAATTACACTTTTAGAAACTAAAATTTTGGTAATTTTAAAAGTGATGTTCAAATTTACCTGATATTAAGGGATATTTTTTTTAAATCTCTTAGTCAATGGAAATTTTGTCACTTCTCTGATGAGACCAGAATTATGATAATATTTAGCACTTTTGAAAATCCCACTTTAATAACAACATTCTCTTATCATTAATAAGACCTCCATATACTTCCCTAGAAGTAATTTCAAAACATTTTATTATTTTAATACAGACACCTACAGTGTTTTCCTTAATGGTCAATGACAGCTGTTCAATTTTCTGTAAAAGATCTTTTTCAATTCGCTGATGTTCCTGTTCCAGCCAGGTACGTGCGGACAAAATCTGGGTGCTCAATTCCTCAACTGCATTTTTTAATCTAAAAAAATAAATAAATTAGCATGGAGCTCTGGAGACATAAAAGAGGTTATCAGAGGATCTGTGGCATTCTGATGACAATAATCATAAAAAACATATTTTCCTCACACCGTATTTAACACCATGTTCATGCAAAATTTTTAACTAACTAGGAAAAATAGATATGATTTCTATATAGCTGTTCCAAAAAATTAAAAAGGGAGACTGTAATACAATGCTAGTTTTACAAAACATGATAACAATATTTAAGTATGTATGATGCATACTCTTCATGAAACTGTATACCACAATTTTGAAAACAAGTGTGATATTCTATTCATTTTACTGTCCCTAAATGACTAAATAAGGACTACAAAATCTAGTTTTTAATCTATATAAATGAATGCAGTGTCCATTTGGTAAACAATCCACTTATGAAAAGTTTCTCTGTGGCTTCTCTTTTTTGAACTACTCAATCACATGAGTAAGAGGTTTGGAAGGGACCTCAGGACATCATCCAACCCAACCCCCTGCTCAAAGCAATACCATCCCCAGCTAGATCATCCCAGCCAGGAATTTGATGAGCTGGGCCTTAAAAATCTCCAGAGATGGGGAGTCCACCACCCCTCCAGGTAACCCATTCCAGTGCTTCACCACCCTCCTAGTGAGAAAGTTTTTTCCTAATATCCAGCTGAAAACTAGGGTTACCATAAGTCCAGGTTTTCCTGGACAAGTCCTATTTTTGGATCCACCAATCTCACTCTGGGTAGTATTTTAGAAACTGAACAAATGTCCAGGATTTTGCTCTGTTCGGCAGCTATGTTTTTTCTGGCATTTCCCAGCTTGCCCTAGCAAGGAGCTGCTTGGGGCTGGCGGAAGCAGGGGGAGGGTGATTGGATGCGGGGGACACCATGTGTCAGTGAGTACACATACGCATGTGGCCGGCATGCAATCAGGC